CAAAAATTTGATTTACTTGTGGAGTGAATATTTATTTATGGAATTGTACAGGTGGCACCGTACAAGAGAATCCGGCGGGTGGCTTTCGTGGACTCGATTCCGAAGAATCCGTCGGGGAAGATCCTGAGGAAGGATCTCATAAAGCTCGCGACCTCTAACTCTAAACTCTGAATCAACAAACGGAAGAATCAGTTGTCTTATCCACACGGAGCTGCTGGTCCCACTAGTAAATACTAATTCTGTTGATTGCGACGCTGTCATTTTCTATCTTCTGCGTTTACATTCTTTTTCTTCCGTAGATAATAAATACTGGTTTCCGGATTTCTCTCGACTATTTATGTTATTTAATACAATAGGTGGAGTAGGAATTTCAACTCACGACCCTTCTATCCGAGGTAGATACTTTGATCAGTTGAATTTTATTCGAGTGGGTAAGTTAATAGACGTTAAAATATAATAGGAATTTATTGCAGATACAACGTAATAAAAGTTGAACATATAGTATTCATGATTTGATTGGTAATTACTGTCAGATTTAAATTTTATGCTTATTCTATTTATTTTATTTGTAAATCATTTAATTACAATTTAACGATTTAATCTACGTAAACTAACATAAGTATAACTCAACTAGTTTAACTATTGTGAGTTTGAAACTTCACCTTTACATCTTGTACTATGAAAAAAAAAATTTAACGTATATGTTTTGTTTATTTGTATTGACGAAAATGTTTATTATATATAGTGGGACTAATTTCAAGTTTTAAAATAAGTTTGATTAGTTGTTAAATTGTTAATAACAAATAATAATGGTGATTAAAATATTTTTTTGTTTTAATATTAGGGATTAAGGTAAAAAATAAATAAATATAGAGCGGAGATATTATAAAACTAAAATAAATCAAATATAAAAAATTTAGGGATTGAAATAGTTGAATGACAATAATAAAATATGTTGGACAGTACTATATACAATGAAATTTCATCGAGGATTAATATATTTATCAAACTCGGTAAAGCGGCTTCGCTCCTTCCCCTCGTGGCTAGATCAAAGTATCTCGAACATTATCCATCCACTCGCCAGCTGCAAAGAGGGTTTGATTTCTATTACATGCGATGTGGCGAAAAAGACTAATTCAAGATATGTCTTGCCTTTTGCTTTTGGGAAGGGAAGATTAAGAAAATTCTATTAATGGCGGCTTTTTCCAGACCTCTAGGAAAAGCATGAAAAGAAAAAGGCTTAGAATGATACAATCCTAACCTCCTACGGCAAAATAGGTACAGTGAAAGATTAATAGACCGGAAGTTCGAGACGAAACCTGAGTGGATGTGTGACGATTTTTGTTTCGCCTCCGCCCTCCCGTGCACCTGCCTTAGGCAGAGCCGATCCCGCCCTCACCAGACAGGCAACCATAGGTCATAACGCACTCTTCGGACAATAAATCCATTAGGTGGTAACAAGGAAAAAAACATAAGTGATGAAAATTTGAAATTCTAAGACTACGTTGCATTGGGCCGACAGACTGGGCTTCGTGGGCCTGGCTTAAGTCTCGAAAAGTAAACGAAAACGGCTAATCGCAAGCAAAGATCATTACGAAACAGCGAACAATCCATCTGAAACAAAAAACGCACCGTTTTGGCGTTCTTCTTCTCTCACCTCCGGTTTTACTTTTGGACTCCGTTCTCCGTTCTTGATAAAGCCAATTCGCCGTCGGGAAACTCTAGATCTTTCTGGAAGCATTTTTTATATAACATCTTCGCTATCCTGCCCCGTCCCTCCATCATCGCCTTCGGAAATTGCGGTTCTGCGATTGGATTGAATCGAACTCCGACAAGAAAAGGATTTCGCCGGTGGTGTATTCTGATTCTTGACGACATTCGTATCCGTCGGCGCCGGGGCTTATTGCCGTTGCTCGTACTGTCTCTCTCGGTTTCCATTTCTCGTCTCAAGAGGTTTGTTTTTCGTTGCAGTTTCCGGAAAACCTATGCAGATAATGTATCTACGATTATTGGATTGATCGGGATCGTTGAGGTTTCTTTTCGTTGTTTGGATGATTATTTCCTTCGATTGGATCTTCACCTTTTCCCGCCCTTTTTAGTTTCCTGGATGATTTTTCTTGTTTCTATTCATCATCCATAGCTGTTGCATTTCCTCGACCATCATCTTGGATGGCTCTCAAGTGAATATGACAACTTCTTCGTGCTCAGAACTGTGCCTGTACGATTTAATCTGGCTAGCTTTTGGCGTAGATTGAGTACTTATAGATCTATATATCTTATCGTTGCACACTGTTCTATAGGCGCGAATAGAGGTATCTTAAATTATAGCTCCGCTACTCGAAATTTGAATGATGGAATTTTGATTCCCACCCAGTCTTCTCTTCTTGCGAAATCATTTTACCATGTTATCCATCTTTGTGGTACCCACGTCTAGTGCTATATGTTTTATAGGGGACGACGAGTTGGTGCGGCTGCTGCACGCCAGCCAGTTCCCTCAAGATAAACCTTCGACTATAATTTGGTATCTGATCGCTTCCCAAAAGAGATGCTATGTCAATCCAAGAATAAGGGTTTATCTTGGATAGTTCGGTACCCTTTAGTCGTATATCTTTGAACTGTAATATATTAATGTGGAAAAAGACACTTGCATTTGCAAATGCAACTGGAAACTGAAACTTCAACTCCTCTTGGCTTGTGCTATTTTTATCATACCTTCTCTTAAAGAATGGTGTTCTTCTCTTTGTAATTTTGTCCGGACTTTAACATTCCTTTCTATTGGAATTTTTACTCTTTTGGTTGTGCATTGTGTTGGTGACTTAACTTCCATGTATTTTTAGTTCGCTTTTGCAAATATCTGTTTTGACCTGTTCTTTGGCAACTTATATCTTTCTTACGACCTCCATTCATTGAGTGGAGGAGAGGCTTACAGAGATCGAGTTTCTGAATGCACCTTTTTGTTTAGGCGGTAGTTGCAGTTGAATAGCATGGCAGACCATTCAAATGAAGGTTCCAGCACCAGCAGTATTTCTGGGGAGACTGCAACTTCGGTTATTGAGCTAAACATCAAGACTTTGGATTCACATATCTACAGTTTTCAAGTGAATAAAGATGTAAAAAATATTTGTTTTTTTTCTTTGTTTCTTTCTCTTTTTTTCTTTTTTAAAAAAATTTAAATTGTGAGGTACATAAATGTACGAGAAAAGAAAATTGTAGGAATTTCCTTTTTCTCTATATTCAATTTTGTTACCTCTTCGTGAGCATTAATTACATATTTGCTTTGCCTGTAATCTATTTAGATGCCAGTTCAATTATTCAAGGAGAAAATTGCGAATGAAATAGGAATACCAGTGAATCAGCAACGTTTGATATTCAGGGGAAAGGTCTTAAAGGATGAACATCCGCTTTCCGAGTATCGTATCCTACCATTTTTTACATTCAGTATATATTTCTAACATTTGTAAGGAAGATTGCATATCACGCCTTCCTTTCTCTTTTCCAACTGGCCACCATGTGTATTAGTTTTCTTCGTAGCAATGTGTAAGAAATTCCATAAAGCCTTCTTGTTTCAGTTGAATATAATGCGTCCAGTACATGAATCATTTTTCCACATTTTTCGTGTAGGGTGAACTTGATCTCTGACCTGCATTTTGGATCTGAAATTAGTTGGATAATAATCTTTTTGTATCGTTATGATTGATATGCATGATTAATCTGGCGGTACAAGATAATTTCTTTTATATAAGCTTTAGCATATTAGTTGATATTGCGGATGGGATATTTTTCATTACTCTAGTAATATTAGATGAATGTATGGTACTTGCAACTGTTTTTTCTGACGAGAGTCGTATAACTAACAGCCCTAATGCTTGGTTATGTTCATTATATGCTGATCGTCGGATTATATCTTTTCAGATTTGCTGTCTTGACAAATTTGTTGTTAAGTCTAAGTTTTGCTGCCTGATGGTTCTTTTTGCGCAATTGAAATCTCTTGTTTATGGATTGGATTTTGCATGGTAGTTTCTTAACCCTTTAAGATTTGGAAAATGGACACACGTTGCATTTAGTTGAAAGACAACCAGCTCAGCAACAGGCAGCATCCGATACAAGCATGGGTGACAGAACTGCGAATGGTATACCAATAATTGGTTTGAGAATTTATGAACTCTTGGGATATTGTTCAGCTTCTTAAGTTTCCTTTTATTTGCTTCTTAGTGCCTTCATCAACTGGTAACGAAGCTGGAGCGGGTGCCCCTCGAAATCGTGTTGGACAAATTGCACATAGTGTCGTTTTAGGAACATTTAATGTTGGTGATCAAGGTGAAGGCCTTGTTCCTGATCTTTCTCGGGTATACAGTTTAATTTTCTTTATTTTTTCCTTCATATCTTCCTTTTATTTACACTCATGGATATCAAAAAGACAAAAAATCCTTTTATTTATTTGTTTATCATCATCATCATTACTGTTGTTGTGTTTATCATGGACTTTCATCTTATATAATATATTTCTCATGCCAAGAGATATAATGGACGTTGAATTTCGTATCGCTCAGTAGGAAATGAAACAAAAATTTTTCCCCCCCAGGTTATTGGGGCAGTTCTGAATTCTATTGGAATAAGCAGCCAAAACACAAATGTTGCAAGTGGGATGCAGTCTACCTTGGTAAGTGAGAAGTTCTTCTTTATCTTTAAATGATAAATGGTGTATATTTCCATGAAAAATCTAGAAATTTTGGGAAGTTGGGGATATCATAGTTTTTAGGTCTCTCTTTGGAGCCTTTTGAATAGGGTTTCTTTTGTGACCATTTTTTTTCTTGATTAATGTCAATGGGAGTAATTTTTTGTAATATCCTTGCCTTTGAGTTGATTATTCCACTAGAAGGATATTTCCTTTCTTCTTTCTCTTTTGTCTTTTTTTTTTTTAAAATAATACCTGCCACACATTCTGGTCGAAACAGCACTTGTTTTGATGCTGTACTCTGTGTTCTCTGTCATCCAGTCAATTATTGCCTCTGATTTTTGTTGTTCTCTCCTAGATTTTATTCGTTATTTTTTTTTCTTTATATTCCACCTCAAGTTCATGGTTTCAGTTGCTTTCAGCACCATTTTCTCTTATTCTAGCCTCTGACCTTTAGATTTATGGTGACTTGTAGAACCATAAGTTGTTGCAAATGCATTTTCATTTGGTGGCATTGTGAATACGCTTGAGATGTAATTTGTATCCCCCCTCCTAATCTTGTCTGCATTGCCCATATCGTACAACAGTTTTTTGCTTGTTTCTGTGTGAATGTGTATGTATGTGTGATGGTTGTATATGTTTTTTTCTGGATCTGGTATAAAATTCTAATAGTTGTTGGTGGTTATACTCTTAAAGCCAAACAATCGTGGCACAGCAAGTCAAGGAAATGAAACATTTAGAGTTAATGTTGGGGCTGGAGGACAAGCAACAAGTCAGGCACAAACTGGACAGGCATTTCCCAGCCAGCCATCACAAAGTTTTCCTCACGTGATTCAAATTCCACTTGCCAGTGCAGCTGTTTCAGTTCCTTCCATCCATGCGGTAGAATACGTAGCTTTTCTTTATCCATGGCAAAATTGTGATTTATATTGCTTGATAGAATTGGTTTCTTGGTCAGTTGGTTGTCATATTGATTATTTGTTTACCTTCTACTTTTTAGCCCATTCCCGATTCTCTGACAACAATTTCCGAGTTCATGAACCGTGTCGAGCATGCAATATCTCAAAATGGGGGTAATCGTTGAAGCACTATCAACAATTTGATACTAAAATAATTTCTTAACTGAGCAGCTTTCTTCATACATTGATATTACTCAACTTGTTTTGGGGACTAATAACAATTTCTTTACCTTTTCTAATAATGCAGGAGATCTACCTAGGGTGGAACTGCCTACCAATCCCCAAGGCTTGCCAACCCCTGAATCTTTGAGCATTGTCTTGCGACATGCTCATCGGCTTCTAAGTGATTATGCCACATCTTCACTATCTGTAAGTACTATATCTAGTTACATTACTTGAAATTAAGGGCATAGAAGTTATGTCGGAACAATGAATTGTTGATCTGTTTCATTCGACAGTTGTAGATTTTCATTCAGGCATTATGGGATATGACAAATTGGTAGACTAGCCTAGCTTTTATTGGTGTGTAATGACATGTTTTGGATTTGGCTCTAGATGAATCTAGCTTCATAATATGCGAGTTAGTCAATAATTTTATTATTATTGAGAATTGTACATTTTTGGAAGCATTGATTATTTAATATATATGTTCAATGTTCTCGTTCCAATGTCTATGTCCGATTCTATAGTATTTTTTATATCCCTTTTTTTAATTAGTTACAAAAAAGCCAATGAAAAAAGGTTGAAAAGTAGCAAGTCAAGACAAACACATTCTCAAAGGAAGTACAAGAACCTCATCAAGAGTCCAGATGAACAAAAGTTGGGACAAATCTTTAGAGTTATGTTACTGTCGCAAAACATTTATTTCTAGCTCAATTAGATCGAGAAGTATATGTCCAGATTATATCTTATGTTCAAACATAAGATTAAGAATAGCATTGCCATGGTATTCAAGCTCTATCAATTTGCTCTCTTCATCTTTCTTGGGTCTTTCTTTTTGTGATGAAAATGGAGCTTTTCTCTTATGATGAGTGCTCATGGATTTTACAAGCTGCTGCGTGGAAAGCAAGTTTTTGTTTTTGTTGTTTTTTTAAGATTTTACTTTTAATAAGTAAATTAGTTTAGTTGATTTTTTGGGGTTTGAAATTTGTTTTTTTTCTACACTAGATTTCATTTGGAGCATTTCTTTGCTTGGAACCGTCACTGGTGGATGGTACTTCTTCAATGTCCATCAAACATTGCGTTTTTTGGCATTTATTGATTGTATTTTTATTTAATTATTTTTAATAAACAATTAAGTAATTTAATTATGAAATTGTAAGCATTAGCTACCACGTTTTTGAAATTTAAAAAATTAATTAGATTCTGATATTCTTGGTCCTCCTAAGTTCCTTTAGACTTTCCATATTCCAGGAACTCAAATGAGTTGCATAAGAATCAGTGGTTGTGATTCGAGACAATTATGAGGATGTCCATAATATTTCTTTACGTCGCATTATATGAATTAATAAATAATGTGCTCGTGGTTATATGACCTAGAATGCAAAAAGTATCGTGTTGGTTGTTAATAAACTCTGGAATAACATAGTTCAGATTCTACCTTATGCCCTCGATGAGATTGCAATGAGTTTTATACTTCGGTGCAATTAGTGGATTTTGCACTCCAAGTACTTATCTTATTCTCTATGGATATGTCAAAAACATTTAGCGTATTGCGGAGTGTTTGGAGCAAAATGGCTCCTCCACTGATCCCACCGTGAGGGGTCAAATCCAGGAAGAGTCGGTACAAGTAGGACTTAGGACACAACAAATGGGAGCGCTTCTTCTGGAACTTGGTCGTACAATCTTGACACTCCGTATGGGACAATCATCTGTAAGCTGTTGTCTATTCTGTTTTATACAGTAGTTTGATTTGCGATTAGAATTGTATTAACATTTCTGTTTGCTTGTTGCAGGCTTCGTCAGTTGTTAATGCTGGGCCAGCAGTTTATATCTCTCCTATGGGGCCAAATCCCATAATGGTTCAGGTTAGAGTGACTGTTTTTCTAATCAATTTCTAAAATTTCTATCATGCAATTAACTAGTTTCTTTTATGTGCATTTGGAATATACTTAGTTGCAAAGTCAATCATGCTCTTGTTTTGAGTTGTACTCACACTGGAAGGTTAAAATCCGAGTTATGCTCTTTCTCTTACTTTTCTGGAATAATTTATTTCTCTTGTTGCATGATATGATTTGGGGTATCCTAAACCAAGTGCTTCTGTGGTTGAATGGAATTTTTTTACACTAGAATTATATTTTGCTGTTGTATGCCTTCATGGATGGGGCAGTTCTAGTTATAATTTGTATTTTGTTAAATATGTAAAACGTTCATTGCAATACAACTGTTATGATTTTGGTACGTTTCTTGAAAACAGAATTAATACATTTTTGGCACCTTTTTTTTAACCATCATGAGTTATAGATAGGTAACAAAATTTTGGGGCTTTTCTGTTAAATATTGCCTTTGGTCATCCTGCTTAATTTTAGTATCAGGCCCTATGCTTTTGTGATTATTCCTCCTCGCAAATCACATCTTCTCCTTTTACAGCCTTTTCCCCTGCAAACTAATCCCCTCTTGGGTGGTTCTGTACTATCATCAAATCCAGTGTCTGTTGGTGCAGTTGGTATTGGAACTGCCCCTAGGCACATCAACATTCATATACATGCTGGTGAGGATGATATTGTCTTGATGTTCTGTGTCGTCTTCATGCAATGTGCTCTCCCCTAAGTTCTGCCACCTTTTCTGTAGTTGGTACCAGGTCGAACAATGGGGATGGAGAACCTGCAGAGCGCCACAGTGTCAGTGGCTCTACTGATTCAGGTGTATCACAGGCACCTCCTATGAGAAGTGTTATTGAGACTGCCATTCCACATCCTTTGGGTGTTTCAATTTCTGCTGCTGTGCAACCTGGTGAAGGTGTTTCCTTTTCCGAGCCTCCTCCCGACTCTGTTTCACTATCCTCCCTTGTGGCTGATGTCAATTCACGAATTAGAGAATTAGTTGCTAATGTTGGAGGTGGTACCAATACTGAATCAGGTATATTACTTGTTTGGTCACTCATTACATTTTTTTCACCTCTACTTAACATCTTTCTTTTATTCAGGTCTAGGGCAAACGGCAGTTCAGAATTCATATGTTGGTTCTGGAGCAGGGAGTGAGACAAGGGACATGGCTGGAGAGTCGAGTGAGTCATTACCTGGGCATAACCCTGAAAGTGGAAGTGAGAAGGTAAATATTTTGTACAATAAATTTCTTCCTCATCCTCCAGTTTTTTTTTAGCTTGTATTTGTATTAGATTAAATGCTAAATCTAGTTTTAACAAACCACAGATTGTAAACACAGACAATATTTGTCGAGATACAGGAAGGGCTGTAAACTCAACTGATTTACCGACATGCTCTGGTGGTAGGGGCTCTGAGGGTGTTGAAAGTAATGGAGAAAATTTTCAAAGTCAGGCATCTTGTGAGAAGAGCATGGGAGCTGGGTCTGCCCAAGCTGTTCCACTTGGACTTGGAATGGGAGGTCTGGAACGTCGGGTAAGCCGAAACTATATATTATTGGATTTTGATTTTTATTCATGTTGTAATATTAAATTTATGTTCTGGTGACATATTGTTGAACTATACACGTTTTGCCTATTGGCAATGGGAGCACTTGGATTTCATTTCTACCAAATGGATTTCTTCATAATTTCTTGGATTTTAATTTGCAATTTCCTTCGGTTTCATTTTTTTAATAAATTGGTTGATTAGAGGCGAGGCAGACAGCAAAGTCCACAGGTTAAGGGGGGTGACGGAGGAACCAGCCAGGGTCCTGCAGGCCAGCCGTTCTTACAATCTCTTGCGTCTAGTGCTTCTATGAATACGTCTAATGCTCATGAGCCCTCTTCAGCCCTAGGATCGACTGTTGGCCCAACTGTGGATAGCAGATCCTTGCATGGGCTAGGTTCTGACGGCCAAATTGATCTAGCAAGCAGTATGTCTCAGGTTTTGCAGAACCCTGCTTTGAATGGACTATTGACAGGCCTTTCAGAGCAAACTGGAGTTGGCTCTCCAGATGTCTTGAGGAATATGTTGCAACAGCTAACGCAAAGCCCTCAGATGAGAAATACAGTCAATCAAATTGCTCAACAGGTCGACACTCGAGATCTTGAACACATGTTTTCTGGGTCAAGAAGAGGCCAGGGTGGTGGTCTCCATTTGTCGAGGATGTTCCAACAGATGATGCCAGTCGTTTCTCAAGTGCTTGGAGGAGGGCTAAGTCAACCACCGTCCTCAAATGTGGAAAGAGAGCCAATGCAACCACCCTCCTCAAACGTGGAAAGAGAGCCAAGGCCTCACAGTGCGAGGTCTGGTAGTGGAGTGGATACACCTAATGACCAAAATTTTCAGGTACATTTAACATGACTATTGCATTATTCTTTCAATGTACTATTTTGTAATTTGTATTGTCATTTTCATGCATGCTATAATTTATCTGTCTAGAGGACGCAATAAAAATTCTGTGACTTGTTGAAGTTATTGTTTTTGCTTGTTGAAGTTATAACAAAACTAATAATTTTATGTTGTGTAGATTGGGATCGAAGATCTGGCTGGAAGGATTATATCTACCAATTCTCCTAGGGATGTCTTCCGTGCTGTGGTAGAGAGTTCAGCTCGGCTTTCTGGCAGTAGCAGTAGCGAAGATATCACAAACGAGTTGTGCAGCAACGAGAGACTTGCTAAGGTAAATATTATTCTTGCATCATCCGAAAATACTTAAGTTATAACTGCTGAGAATCTATTTTTCTAAACACTTGTTTTAAAAGAACGAGCTGTAAATTTTTCAATGACAGTACACGAGTTAGGGCCTAAGTAACAGATGAGGATGAGGATGTTGAGAATTTGATTTGTATGGAATTTAAGCGGGTTGTGGATTCTTGTAGGAATATGTAGAGATGTTATCAAGTGATGTGAACCGACGGCTACAGGGCAATTCAGAACAGGAGAAATAATACACATCTGCGGAAGGATATTACAGATTCAGTGGGGCTTAGATGGTAATGGTGATTGGACAATGTTTTTTTTTTATGGTACAATGCTTCTCCAGCAGACGATGCTCGAAAAGTAAGTTATGTTATTACGTGGCTTTCGCCTTAGCTTTAATTGTAGATCTTTAGGTTGTAAAGTACTTTGTTTTGGCTGATATGACCGACTTATTTTCGGATTCTTTCAAGTTTATTATGAAGTTTCATATTGTTTTTGTGGGTGCGAGTGACCCTTTATTGTGTAAGTTTCTAGAAGAAGACATCGACTTATCGCAACGAATACCGTGGATAACTTTCTTTTAGATATGTGTATGTGTGTTTCTTTGAAATTTGTTTGGCAAAACAATTAACAATAATTAATAAATCATAAAGAAAATAAGTGCCAATCTTGGTATTGTTATCACCATGGTGACGAAAGGTATAAGTTAAGCTAATCTTTTTCATTCGGGATTCTTCATTTGTTTGGAATATTAGATATTTGTAATTATAGGTACGGTATTCTTAAACAGTGTGCAGGAAAATACTTTTAAACAACGTTTGTTTGGCAAAATTTGTACTATTGTTTTCATAATATCTTTATCAATAGTGCTATAACTTATATATTAAAATATATTTTTTCAAATATAATATAATATCATTTGAATTCATACATTAATTTTGTTTTTATTAATTTAATATTGTATTTTTATGTCAATTTAGTTGATGTTCGCTAACTATATTAAAAGAGTAAAATGAAATAGTGTACACTAAAAATTAAGATATTATATTGATAACTAAAGTTTGTTCTATATATAAACGTAGTTTATGAATATAATTAGTTAATGAATATAGTAAAGAATATATATATATATATAATAAAAATGAATGATAAAATTAAAACTCATGCATCTTAAAAGAAAATAGTACCCAAAGGGTTATAGGGACGTGTCTTCTACTGATAAAACTCGGGTACCTTGTCTTAAGGTTATCATTTTTGAAAATACGGGTTTACATATCCACTTCTACGTATCAAATAAATTATATGTATCAAATAAATTATAAAAAAGTACGAAAATAAAATAAAAAAAAATACCTATTATTATAGATAAAAAGGCAGGATGTTTCCAAATTTTGGACATCTAAAAATATATGAGTATCCAACGTCATTCATGTGAAGCAAACTTTGTTGTTTGGTTGATGAGGATATCCACTCTTCTAGTAGCACTAGCAAGGGAGTTTGTTTATTTATTTAGTAGAACAATATTTAGGATGTCAAGAGGAAGGTTTTTTGTAGACATGATGTAAAGGTTCATAAAATGGGTATTTTTAAAGGCAACTTGCAAATATAGTAAAATCAAAGAGTTAATTATAAATATGGTAACAATTTTTTTCATTGGTAAAGATAGAAAAAAAAAAAGGGTTCAATATGTTTTATAATAAGGGGCTTTTTAAAATGAGGAAAAATCTTCCTAAATATATCAGGATGTGTTATATTAGATATATCTCTTATATATATTTTTATGCACAAATGATATGTCTTTTCATTAATTTATTTGTTAAAAATGCTTAAATTTACAATAATGATCAATTACATAATAATCTTATCCTAAGTTCACAATTAAAATTATTTTAACAAACAACATCTTATGCCAATATGAGGTTAAAGTTTAATAAAAGGTTATAATTTTCTCGTGGGATTCAAATTTTTAATCTTTTGATCGGAGATAAGTGTCTTAACCCGTTCTAAAACTTGTTCTGCCAATAAAAACCAGCAATAAAGTCTATATCTCTAAGAAAAAAAAATCCGGTGACATTTAAGACGTGGCACAATGCAATTGGTTTAGAGGTTCATGACAGGCAATACTCCCTCCTACAAAATACTAACACATAAGAGGCTGCCACTCCTATTATTGAGCTGAACCATCGAGACTTTATATTCACAAATCTACCATTTTCAGGTGATTAAAGACGCAAAAGTTTTTTTTTTTTTCCTCTCTTTTTCTTTTTAACTATTTTCTAGTTTTCTCAGCCATGATTATATGCTTTTTACTCGGAGAGTTCATTGACCTTGAAGAAAGGGAAAAAAATGATAAGAAAACTTAATGGTGAATTTGTGAGATACAAAAATTTGCCGAAACAGAAAAATTCTAAGCCTTTCTTTTTTCCTCAAGATTCAATTCATTCTTCAAGGAAGAAATTTCAAGAGGTCTTTCTGAGAATTGTGTACTCCTACCAATTTTCTGTGTTTGATCTCCTTTTTAGCCCATTCTTGATTCATTTGACAACAATTTTCGAGTTCATGAACCCCCTCGAGCATGCGATATCTCAAAATGGTGGTAATTTTTGAACAACTATATCGTCGATTTTGATTTGATTTGATTGAATTGAACAAGTTTCTTCCTGGTCTGATTTGTATTATTGAATAAATATTATTACAATGTATAGGAGATCTGCCAAGGGTGGAACTGCCTACCAATCCCCATGATTTGCCAACTCCTGAATCTTTGGGGCTTGTCTTGCGACATGCTCAACAGCTTCTAAGTGATTATGCCACCACTTCCTTGCCGGTAAGTATTATGGCCATTGTTATCGCCATTAATGAAACGATGAAACGATTATGAGGTTTTTTTTAGGACCCGTTTGGTAATATTCTCGTTTTCAATTTTTATTAAGAAATTTTAAAAATTGTATAGAAATTTTGAAAACAACGAAAACAAGTTTATTGTTTCTTATTTCCGTTTCTTATTTATCCCAAAACATAAATAAAAATATAGTTTTGTCATTTTTGAATCCATGACGTTGAAGCGTTGTAATAATGGCCTTAAATATTGCTCATAAGTACTTATGTTATGTGTTATGTTATTATGGTGTCTTGTGGAAAAATATTGTTTATTAAAGAGAATTGTTGAGCGATTGGAGCAAGAGGGGTGTTCCAGTGATCCAAATGTGAGGGCTCAAATCCAGGAAGAGTTGGTTCAAGTAGGACTTAGTATGCGACAATTTGGAGCCCTTCTTCTCGAACTTGGTCGTACGATCTTGACCTTTCGCATGGGACAATCACCCGTAAGTTCATAAACTGTCTCATAAATCTTTAAATTTTGAAAAGTGTCGACTAGATCTCGTTTAAACCAAATTGTTTTGATGGTTTTTTTAGATTGTGTTTCAAGATCTCGTTCAAAAGATTATATCTACCAATTCTGCCACCGATGTCTTTCGTGCTGTGGCCGAGAGTTCAGCTCGATTCTCCGGCCATACTACTGAAGATATCGCAAATGACTTGTGCAGCGATGACATACTTGCTAAGGTCAATCTTTAAACTATGTCTATACAGTTCAAGTATTTAAAAAAGTTTCTATCATTTCACGATTGCGTAATGACAAATTCAAGTGTCCGGTGGCGTAAATTTTAATTGGATAAAAAGTTGAAAGTTCAATGATCAGTTCATTACTTTATTCAATTCCCGTCACGGTTAACAAAAGCTGTGTCGGGAATTTGATTGGTATGTAATATAAGGTGTTGTGTTGTTGCAGGAATATATAGATATGTTAGCAACTGATATAAGCCGACGGTTGCTAGCCAGTACAGATCAGGAATAATATTAGTACACATCTCCAACTGGAAGAATATTATTGCAGATTCCTGGATGAAACTGAAGCCACTTTTTTTTTTTTTCCCTTCCTTGATTTCTCTCTAGATAATGCTTCTCCAGCTTTTTATTTTTTGTTTTAATTTTTTTTTTTCTCTTGTGCGTTGTCTTCTTAGACAGATTCTTATAATCTCTTTTATGCCTTAATCCTAGATGTTTGGGCCAAGGTCATTCTACTCATAAGAGGATGTAGGTTAAAATGGTAGAATATTGGCCTGTAAAATACAATTTTCTTTTATATTGATGCGATCATTCATTTTCGAATTTTTTAAGATTAAATTTATAATGTTTATGAGTTCGACATCAACATAAATAATGAATCTATGTCTTCGTAGTATTGCAAAATAGTCTACAAAATATACAAAATATAAATAAAATATTATTAATGTAGAAATAATATAAATAATTAAAAAATTTTACTTATTTGAAAATGTGGAAATATTTATTTGGTAATTTAAATATTTCTTAAAAAGATAATCTGTATATTTTATCCATCACATTTTAAATTGACAGGAGATTGACACATAGTAGGAAAAGGAAACAAACAAACAAAAAACTGTATCTAATTAATTTTAAAATAAATGTGTAAAAGTTGGCTATTCTTTTACAAATTTTATGAAATAATTACATAAATTATTTTTGGTAATTTTACACCAAAATCTAAAAATTCATAATTCATTCAAAGTCAATTTTGGGAAGAAAAAATACTGTTTTCAAGAGGTAACACGTGGCAAAATTCTATTGGTTTTGTTGTTTATGAAGGCAACCAACCGCCGTAGAGGATTTTTACTCTCACTATTCGCTTCTCCTCCCATTTCCATTTCAGCGGAGAGATTCAAGAAATCGCTTTTCTCGTCTGCGTTTCTGTTGAAGGTTTTCGCAGTTACAGTTCTCCCATGGCTCCCTCAGCTCCGTCAAGCTCAGCCCCTGAATTCCAATTGCCCAAAAAACCCCTTGGTCTGTTCGCAAACGCACTGAAACGCAAGGATAGCTTCATTCAGTTCTTCGCCATGACTGGTATTATGCTCTTAAGCGTCCGATCTTTGGGTCAGAAGTACCGTATCCACGACCTTCAAGAGGACACTTCGGCTCTCAAACAAGAACACGAAACCCTAATTGACCGTATGAAGAACATAAAGCGCAGCCTCCTTCACGAGGCATCCCTCGACCCCACCGGCTTCTTCGCATCCAGGCTTCGTCTTCTCTTCAGCGATGAAGATTGACGGCTTTAATTCTTCAATCTGTGAGTTTTTAGTCTAGGTTTTTATCTGTTTCCTGCTTGGTGTACCCGATTTACATTTTTGTTGTTGCCGTTTGTAACCTTCTAGAATGCTTGACGACGCCTTCCGTTTTCTTTTCTAAGTAATAACAAGGCCGATCCATTATTTGGATTAGTTTTGCCCTTTTGATTTTTGGTATTACAGAATTGGATGGTTGAATTTGTTGAATCGAGCAATACAAAACCCTAGTGATTTAGGATTTTAGTGATGATTCGGCTTTCTCGTAACCTCTGTCCCCTCGGTGATTGAAAGAAAAAAAAAAGGAAGAGAGATGATAACAGAAGAATTCTGTAGGGGTACAATTCTCAAGTGGAAAAAAATGGGATGCTGATTTATCCTGTGTCATCATTTCTTACCACTCAGGCCTAGATAGAAATGATAAGGTTATTGTGCTCAATACGCTGAACAAAACGTAGATGAAAGAATTTATGCAAGTTTTTGTAATACTTCGGCGTACCCGTAGGAAAATTTTCTTCCTGGCTAAGAAGATGATTGATACTGACATCCTGCTTCTTCTTGAAATAATGTGATCTTCTCATGGTAAGATTTGGAAAGGTGAAAAATGCTTTAGATAACAAAACAAAGAATTCATAAGTAGAAATAGTGTTTATATGCTTAACTTAAAAACATAAAACCAAAAATAAAATGGTTATTGAGGAACCAAGAAAATCTCTAGTTACCAAAGAAATTTGCATATAGATATCAATTTAGATCCATTGATGATTAGGCTTGGAAATAATGGCAGCTGATAACAGGAAGTCTGCTATTGCTAGGATTGTATGTTGAAACATCTTGTTCTTTTACCTTTAACTACTTAAAATGTGACAACTAATGATAAAGCTTCTTATTGTGTAATCTCTTGCGAAATTTCTGGCACAAGGGTACTACAAAGCTTATGGTGTGCAATTGTTGTGATGTAGGATAAAGGAATCCATTTGCTTAAGAGTTGTAGCTGATAGGAGAGCTGTTTGGACCCATCTTTTCAAGTCAAAGACATTGCTTATTAAACCGATTGTGCCCACAAACAAGCCAGAGGATAACCGCCAAGGGCCCACGTCCATGTTCAAGTGCTGGATAATTCTTAGAAAAATCTCTCTAAGACTAACATGGGACTCCCAGTCCCAACACCAAGAATCGATCTCGTAATTCTTCTAAAAGTACCTATTAATAAAAGAGTTCACTTTGTTTCTGCCTTGTGCCCACATGTTCTAGTGATGCCTGCATCATTCTCCTTTTCTTGGAACAAATTCCTCTAGAGTGCACCTTATGGGACTTGAGCATGGAATGCCAAGTTTATACCGATTCATGTAGGACAGATGAACTAATTCACTCAAAAGTTACAGTTGTCCTTCTGATCACTTATGATCAAGTACGATAGCAATCACACTCTAAGCTTATTCTGATCGGTTTGGACCCATCAATTTAGAAGCGTCTCATATGAATCAATTGGGTGTCGGTGTACCCCAACAAGAGGGTGAAAAAGTTTTCGAATGGCCCTCCCCAGGTGATGGATGGCAATATATGGTTACTAGAGAAGCTACTTCAAACTTGTTAGAGCTGTTCATTGATTCTCTAGAGCTCATCTAAAGCACCGATCAGATTTCTTAGTATTTGGGGCCTTAAAATATTCCCAACTAATTGCATTCAAGGGAAGTCTGGCCATCAAAGCTGTAGTACAATGGCGAAAAATTTTGACCCCTCTCTTGAGAAGAGGGTTTTTTTGTCTGAACCTTGTTTTTGAAGCGATTTGTAGACATAATGAGCATTTGATTTGAAAATAACTTTGCATCTATTGAGTTTAAATCTAAGTGGCGCGTTAACTGGCACTGTTGTAATGCTACAGGTTGCTTGGCTTGGCGATTTGGTTTACTGGATTGCGTAATTATGTGGGTATGGTTTCAATAATGTCCAGTCCACATGCAGCAAAAGGGGAGGCAGCTGTCTGTGGGTCAGTGTTGTTTTCTAGTGATAATTTGAACTTATTATATATATATATGGAATGAGCGCCTGTTGCGGAAATGTTTTCAAATTCTAGATTTGACGCTTCCTTCTTTTTAGTTTATTCATTAAAAACAGTCCCTTTCTGTTGCTTTTGGCAACCTCTTTATGCCGAAAATGGTCTTTTTGCTGCCTAATTACTGCAAAGATTTGCCTTTGCATTTGATTTGTTTGTTTTTTTCTTTTCTTTCTGATAATCGTTAGTGTTGGAGCTAATTTGCACACACCTTAGACTAATCACGTTTGATTCTATTACATTTTGTTGCCATGAAATACATAAAATTAATTCTTAAGTAGGTGCCCATCATGAGATTTGAACAAATTTCCTCTATATCTTTTTTATTTACAAATCATCGCACCTATGGTCCAACCAATTGGGATTGGGAGAGAATCAATCGATTCCTTTTCGGAATGTGATTTATTTCTTTAGGTTAATTTTAAAATACCCGGGGACTAAAAAGATAACCTTCAAAAAACAGAGTTGTGAGTTTTTTTTTTTAGTTCAAAAACACCCGAGATTTGAACTTCCAACCATTTTATTTGGGAATGTTAACCAATTAAGTTATGTTTAGGTTGGCATAAGATTATGTATGTTGCATTATTGCTATATATTGTTCCATTCCAAGTATACTAATGTACTAGAGTGATTTAACCATGGAACTATGCACATTTTTATTTAGTTATTTATTATCCAAGTTCAATAATTACATGGATGGAATCTATCCACAATTTTAGGATATAATAATAAATGTTTTATTTATTGAGCTATATTATAAGTTGATATTTCATTTGTCTTTTATCATTCTAACAATGCTGGCAAATAGTTGGAAAAATTAAATAGTTTTGCTAGTTACTATTTTATCAATGGTGTTAACAATATAGATGTAAGCAAAAGCACAATCTTCAAGCTTCAATAAATATATCAAATAGATGATCATGTTATAGATCTAAAAATTTTAAGGAAGGAAAATAAAACCCCCCGCTGACTCAATTGGGAATTCACCAGTCAGTAGCACATGCAATCTAAACCTTCGTCAAAACCATGCCATGTGAGAGACATACATGCAAAAATTCATTATATTTGTGCTAATGTGGGACCCCACCACCGACACTCCACACTCTCCTTCTTAGTTCTTCCTCTTGTGTTTCTTCCCATATTTCCCTTCCAGTAATTGAACTTTTTGACAAATTAAAAAGAAATATATAGTTTTTAATTCATTTAAAAAATAAAGAGCTGTCAAATTTTGATTCGTGGTTTCCATAACCAATCAGCACCAAAGTATGTTATTTTGCCTTTTCT